TTTATCATGTCCAATTTGACTTTTGTTGTTGTTCAGTCACTAAGTTGTGCCTGAGTCTTCAACCCCATGGACTGCAGCACGGTAGGCTTCCCTGTCCTTCACTGCTCCCAGAGATTTGGCTTTAGAATGACGTTTTTCACATGATGAGAGTTGTGTGGGAATTACTTTATTTATGCAATACAGATTTAAGGGGAAAAATGTCTTTGTTTGTATTTTTTACAGCAGAATCATACAAGCATCCATTGTAGAAAAGAGGTTTCCACAGATAGCCTGCATATCAGAACTTTGTCAACAAAGATCCATCTAGTCAAAGTTATGGTTTTTCCAGTAGTCATGTATGGGTGTGATAGTTGGACTATAAAGAAGGCTGACCACTAAAGAATTGATGCTTTTGAGTTGCTGGAGAAGACTCTTGAGAGTCCCTTGGACAGCAAGGAGATCCAACCAGTCCATCCTAAAGGAAATCAGTCCTGAATATTCATTGGAAGGACTGATGCTGAAGCTGAAACTCCAATACTTTGGCCACCTGATGCAAAGAACTGGCTCATTTGAAAAGACCCTGATGCTGGGAAAGATCGAAGGCAGGAGGAGAAGGGGGATGATAGAGGATGAGATTGTTGGATGTCATAACCAACTCAATGGACATGAGTTTGAGTAAGCTCTGGGAGTTGGTGATGGACAGGGAGGCCTGGCATGCTGCAGTCCATGGGGTCGCAAAGAGTCAGATACGACTGAGTGACTGAACTGTACTGATACCCAGACCTTGTGTCAGCAGAAGGTGCTATGGACTCAATTGTGTCTTCCCACCAAATTCATATATTAAACCTTAACTCCCAAGGTAACCATATTTGGAGCCAGGGCCATTTTGAAATTAATTAGGGTTAAATAAGTTCGTAAGTATAGAAAGCTGACCAGATAGAGTTAATGTCTTTATAAGAAGAGGAAGTCAAGACTAGAGCTCTCTCATGCTCCACACACCTGCACAGGTGAAGGAAGGACCATTTGAGGATACAGCATAAAAGTGGTTATCTTCAAGCCAAGAAGAGAAATTTCATCAGGAACTGAATCATGATGGCTTGTTCTCAGACTTGACCCCAGATTTGTTCTCAACTGCCGAGCTCTAAACAATTAATTCTGTTACTTAAGCCACCCAGGCGAAGGTATTTTGTTATGGCAGCCCAAGCTAAGACAGAAGGCATTTTAATAAATAAGAATTTCCAATTTAAGGATAATCAATAACTGATAACAGTGATTCATAAACCTGTGCCTGTTCATAAGGGCTATAAGTGCAAATATACCATGTGATGTTGCTAACATATTTATTGGTAACACATAATAATATTAATGTATATTCCTATTTACATCTATATGAACATAAAATAGGAAATAGCTTTTCACACATAGAATATATGGAATTTTTTTGTAAAAAGAAGGAATCATTTGTGTAACTGAATGATGAGGTTCCAGTGGTTGATTTTGGAAGCATGATTCTTTGGGGGAAATTCTTTCATTTTGTGATTTCTGCATCACTTATCTAGACCAGATCTCTTGAGTGCCATCTTAAGAGCTCTCCATGACATAAATCATGCCAAATGGGTAGTAAAAAATGGTAGAAGGTAATAGGCTGATTTGAATCATTCTTCTTTCTGACAGCTCACTATGATACCTGCTCTGTGATGGTTGTAAGTCACAGAGCTCTGGTCTGCTCATCAAAGTTCTCTGCACACACTCCCATGTAAACTAAAGTGCTCATTAAGACTCACACAGAGCAGCAGAACTCTAGCCAAAATTCAGCCTCTATACACGGGTACCCAGTGGAATCTCGGAGACAGAGTTTTGGGTGAAGTAGAAAAGAATAGCTTTACCCATAGTGGTTTAATGTCCTCAAAACTGTGCGTCCCAACCTGGAAAAGGTACTGAGAAGCTTTACATCAATAGTAATGGCTCAAAGAGGAGGACGTGATCAGCTCGTGGACATTCTTCTGACTGGTTGATGTGAGGTCAGGATCATCAACCTTCTTGTTCCAGCCAGTCTGATGTCTCTGTGTTTGTGGGCTGCACACAGTCAACTTCTCCCTCCTGGAGAGGGTTTCTCTGCAAAAGGGCTCTGTGCAGATCTTGAGGTGGAACCAGGACCTGCCTCAGGGCTTCACTATTGTTTCTTGACCACTCCTCCCCTGTCTCCACTTCCCCTCCCTTCCCTGATTAGCAACTATTTGGACCTGCTCTTTGGGGAGGTGTGGAGGCTGTAATCTAGATGAGACTCACCTGGTTCACACATCTAGTTAGTGGCAGGGCCAGAATTGGACCCCAGGACTCCTTCTTCTTGTTTGGTTGCTCAGTGGTGTCTGACTCTTTGCAACCCCATGGATTGCACCATGCCAGCCTTCCCAGTCCTTCATTATTTCCCAGAGTTTGCTCAAACTCATGTCCATTGAGTTGATGATGCCATCCAATCATCTCATCCTCTGCCATCCCCTTCTCCTCCTGCCCTCAATCTTTCCCAGCATCAGGGTCTTTTCCATTGAGTTGGCTCTTTGCATCAGGTGGCCAAAGGATTGGAGCTTCAGCTTCAGCATCAGTCCTTCCAATGAATATTCAGGGTTGATTTCCTCTAGGCTTGACTGGTTTGATCTCCTTGTTGTCCAAGGGACTCTCAAGACTCCTACCCTCCTGTTTACAGATCCTTCCCACATCTCACAGCCTCCTGGAAAATGCAGAGGAGGGTTTTAAAGAACCCACCTGAGTTTCAGCCATGAGACTCTTTTACTGTTGGACTCAACATGTAAGCAGAAAAGTTATGTGGTTCTTATTTTCCTCTGTTGAATTATTAATACCAAGAGCTAACCAGCATGATGTTGGAACAATGTAAACTTGGTGTCAGAGTGGGTGGGGCAGGTGCAGATAACAGAGAGGAAGAGAAAAATCACTGACTTTAGGCAACACTGCCTTGGCTTCAGGGCTTGTGGGCTTAGGACCAATTTTGGAAAGGGCATTTTATTCCTTCCAATTAGCTCTTGAGAGTCTTGGAGAAGATGCTGAAGCTGAAGCTCCAATACTTTGGCCACCTGATGCAAAGAACCAACTCATTAGAAAAGACACTGATGCTGGGAAAGACTGAAGGCAGGAGGAGAAGGGGATGACAAGAAGTTGACATGGTTGGATGGCATCACTGACTCAATGGACATGAGTTTGAACAAGCTCTAGGAGGTGGTGAAGGACAGGGAACCCTGGCATGTTGTAGTCCATGGGGTCGCAAATAGTCGGACACGACTAAGCTACTGAAAACAACAACCTTAGCTCACTCTTGTGCCTACTGCTCCCATTGCCTCCAGGCATAAGAAGACTCCATGAATATCAGCAAAACACTTGCTTTATCACTCCTTCAAGCAGAAACATTGTTTAAGATGAGAGGTCAAATTGTAATGGGATGAGGGCTTCCCTGGTGGCTCAGAGGGTAAAGCGTCTGCCTGCAATGTGGGTGATCTGGGTTCCATCCTCGGATGGAGAAGATTCCCCTGGAAAAGGAAATGGCCACCCACTCCAGTATTCTTGCCTGGAAAATGCCATGGACAGAGGAGCCTGGCAGGCTGCAGTTAATGGGATCGCAAAAGTCGTACATGACTGAGCAACTTTACTTTGAGGTCTATAGATGGGAGGGTAGGTATATGTGTTTAATGATTAAGCCAATTAAAGAAAAGAAGTTTCACATTGGAAAAAAAAAAGAGCATCCAGGTTTTTCTGAGAAATGAACATATACAGCTATACAGGCCTTGCATTGTGACTTGATGACAGCTGAATTAACTCAGTTTCTTTCCTCCACTGCTTCACTCACTCACATCACTCGTCTCCTTGGTGGACAATTGACCTGGTGGCCCTTGCTTTAAAAAATGACATGAATTACATAATATTATTTTCTGCTTACAACTACAGCATGCCCTGAAATTAAAAAAAACAAACAACAAACTTTAAAATTAGATTTCTTTATTACCAGCTGATGCTAGTATTTGCTCCACTGGACCTGGTCATAGTAGAACTCATATATATATATACATATATATATATATACATACACATACACACACATGCACACATACACACACCCTCATACAGGCACTAGTGGTTAGATCTTTTCAGCCCTTTTTTTCTGCACTTGAGTATCACTTATTCTATAGTATTTCAGCTTTTAGTCCATTGCCAGTTGGAATATAGGTGTTAAATACCTCACTGACATCTTCCTGCTACTCATTCTGAACACTAAATACCTTCAAGGGGATTTAAAATTCTGTGGGCATCACCCTTTCCCTAACAGAGCCACTGGCTTCATGAGTGTAACTCTCAGCCTCTACTGGACCCAGCTTTCAGCTCTAACATCAACACCAATTTCCAAAAACAACTGAAAAGATTCTTGAAGCACAGTGTTGACCTCAGTTGTCTCCAGTTCCCTCTCTCTGTTCAGTGAGAGTCACCAAGAACAAGATGCACCTTGGGTTAAAGCAAACTGCCACAGAAATAATGATCAGACTCTTTTACTACAATTTGAAAGTAAAACATTCCTCTACCATACAATCTGAAAGGTCCCGAAGTTTCATCATTTGAAAACAGACAAACATGTTTTTCTTTTAAGAGAAGGCAGCGGTGACCTAAGTGTTTTATAGTCATTCTCACCCTGGGGAAAAATATATTCTTGGAAAGTTTTTACTTTTTTGAGCTCATTCCAAGGATGCGATGAACACGGCTCGATTCTGCGGCTGTATTTCATGAAGTGTCATTATCCTTCTGCCAGAGCAACTAATGGATGGCTGGAAGGAAAGACACAATTTGGAGGCAATTAATTCTGCTTCAAGTCCCAATTCACTGATGCTAAATAGCATTTGAAACGCGATTCAAGATTTAGAGGCCAGTGGAAGTCTGCCTGAGCTTCTCCTCTTCTGGGCTTGTTCTGCAAGGAGCCTGCCTTTTGTTCCACTTCCTCTTGGTCCTGTGCTTGGGGCAATTAGATGGGTGATGGGGCCCCGGGCTTCTTTATGCCCTGGTTTGCAGTGGGGAGGGAGCCCCAGGTGAGCCAGTGCTAAAGATCACTCCACTGGACCCATCCACTTCAGGACACATGCTGCCATCTGCTTGCAACACTGCAACAAAAACACAACATTTTGTTTCCCTCAGTGAGGCTGCTGGGTCCACTCTGCCCTGGAGATGCACCCAGCAAGCCAGAGAGGCTTCACACCAGCTGGCCAGCATTATCCTGAACCCAGGCAGAGCCAGAGGCTGGCTCGAAGATATCACTGCTGGGAATACAAAGGCATCAACTTCCGTTCATGATTTATGAACAAGCGGAAATAGTCATAAAGCAACCTCTGCTGAGAGAGCAGCCATCAGCCCACCTCTTTCCTTCTTCCTCTTCCAGGACAAAGGTGCTGCTAGCAGCCCTGGGGAGCAGGGAGTCTGCTAGGAAACCAGCTCTAGTCAAGTGGCTTCCCCTCCCATCAATGCCTTCTAGAAAAGCCACTGGGTAACCCCTCACTCGCCCTGCCTCTAGGGTCTCACGTCAGACTCGGCCACTTCCTTATCACCACGGACTCCTCACTCAGCATCCTGTGCCTCTGTTTCCTTGACTTTGCACTGCACCTATTGTGGTTGTGCCCAGAATGATGGACTGCATTAAACGATTCACACATAGCAGAAGCAGGAAGTGTTAGTTATCATCCCCAGGTGGGGCTCCACTCTGACACAGTGAGCAAGCCAGATTGGAACAGGGGGGTCAAGCAAATCCAGGGCATAAAGTCCCAGGGATGAGCTTAAAGCCAGAGGTTGTGTTGCAGCCCCCAGTGAAATCAGTGCGAGGTGGACCCACGCCATGACAAGGGGACCCCGGCTAACACATGGTGGCCCTCAGTGCCTGGCGTGGCTCCATGCAGCTCACATATATTAACTGCTTGCCAATTTCACCACAACCCTGGGAGGTTGTAACTCTTTATACCATCTTCCTCATTTCTCTAATGAGGAGGTTGATGCCTGTGGACATTAAGAAAACTCCTTGGGTCACCTGGGATCCTGTGGCTGCCTGACTGGCTTGCAGTGCATGATCTCAACCACACCACCCTCCACCACTCAGAGTCAATGAGGCGGACCATCCTGGGGCCAGACGGTCTGAGCTGGGCTCAGCCTTCTAGAGCCTAGTTGCATTGAACTCCTTCATTTTGCAGAGGCAGGAACTGGGGGTGAAGAGACGGTTTTGGATGATGCCATGTAATAGGGCAGTCTGAATTAGAGAGGTTGCTGAGAGTTTCAATTGCGCCGCAAAATAGCCCCTGACTTCAGAGGGCTCACTAATCACTAAATCGCACCTGAGTTTAGATTCCCACACCTAGGCTCCTGCCTCCTGCCTGCCTCACAAGGTGCAGGGAAGACCCTCTGGGTGATGTGCTGGGCATGGTGAGTGCTACCTTGGCGGAGGTGGGGTAGCTGTTCTTGCCCAGTTTCATGCAGTTGAAGCAGTGGGGTCCAGAAGTCTGACCTGAAGACTAACTCCAACTCCAGGAAGCCTTCCCCTGCCGTCTGCTGTCTGGAGAACAGAAATGAAAAACAAAGCCAGAAGTCTAGTGAAGCCCCCACCTGGACTCCACCCAACATGGTTTCCAAACCCTCAGAGCCAGGGTGGGTCACAGAAATGGGGGCAACAGGAAGAGGAGCTGCTGATGTAACTTGGGGCAGCCACTATGGTAAACAGCAAGAAAGTTCCTCAAAAAACTAAAAATAGAACTATCATATGATCCAGCAGTCCCACTTCTGGGTATGTATCCAGACAAAACTATAATTCAAAAAGATCTATGAACCCCAATGTTCATAGCAATACTATTCACAATAGCCAAGACATGGAAGCAATTTAATGTCTGTTGACAGAGGAATAGACAAAGACGTACATGTATACAACTGAATACTATTCAGCCATAAGAATGAACAAGATAATGCCATTTTTAGTAACATGGATGCAACTAAAGATTATAATACTCAGTGAAGTAAGCAGACAGAGAAAGAGAAATACCATAAATTATCACTTATCTGTGGATAGGTGGACCTGAGGAAATGGCAACCCCCTCCAGTATTCTTGCCTGGGAAATCTCATGGACAGAGGAGCTAGGTCATCCATAGGATCACACAGTGCTAGACATGACTGAGACAACTTAGCATATGTATGCATGGAACAGAAATGGACTCACAGACATAGAGATCAGGCTTGTGGTTGCCATGGGGATGAAGGTGGGAGAAGGATGGACAGGGACTTTGGGATTAGCAGATGCAAACTAGTATATATAGGATGGGTAAACAATAAGGTCATACTGTATACCACAAGGAACTATATTCAATGTCCTGTGATAAAAGGAATATGAAATGAATACACACACACACACACACACACACCACACACATACACACATATATATGTATAACTGAATCACTTTGCTGTACATCAGAAATTATCACAGCATTTTAAATCAACTATACTTCAATTAAAAAAAGAAAAAAGAGGGCCTGCCTATAGGAGGAGCATTGACAGGGCAGAGTCCTGAGTCCAAGCCCCGCCCCTCACCCATTGGCCAGGCTCTGTGCCAGAGAAGCCAGTGACCCTCTAGGCATGCCTTGACCTCCCCTTCCCAGATCCAGGGCTCAGGTTAAATTGGTCCTCTTCCTAGTTACTAGATGTCCATTCTCTAAGGCTCAGTTCATTTCAGAGTTCATTGCAGGATGCCCTGCTGGAGATACACAGAAGTACACGGGGAACCTAGAAATGGGAAACCTGGAAAGTACCTGGTTACCATACGTGGTTGGGGGTGCAGTTTAAGCACACAACGTGGGAATTTTAAGAAGGATGTGGTTAATGCAGTTTGGGAAAGCGAAATGTTGAGCGCTTTGTGTACGTAAATGTGTTTCATCCTGAAAGCATTCTCAGAGATCAACATAGTTAATTTTGCAGATGGAGCTTCAGTGACAAAAGTCACGTACTCAAAAGGTCAGAGTTAGATGTTGGGATCTAACTACCGAAGCAAAAATCCAAATCCTTGCTACTATTTCACGTTGCTTCTCAGCATTTATGGAGTATCTACTGTGGACCAGGTACTTTGCAAAACATGTTGCACACGTTAGCTTATTTAATCCTCACAGAACCCTTGGGAGACAGATAACATTAGTCTCAATTTCTAGCAAAAGGAAGCTTTAGTAACTTGCCCATGGCCACATCAGCAAGACAAAGAACAAGATTTGAACTTGACAAGATTTGTGGAGCTCCAAAACCATGCTCCTTCAACTACACCCTCATTTTCTCCTCTCTCCCCTCTCTTTTTTTTCCCCTGTAAATTTTAAACAAAATATCCCCAGATTCCATCAGGAGTCTGATGATAGCCTGCCACTGCTGCAAGTGAGCATAGCCCTCACCATCCCCACCAGACCTTCTCTCCTTATTTCAGCGACCAAATATTACCTCGCGAGCCCTACATAGATAGCTGCCAGGTCCAATCACTTCCTGTGATGGAAGACTTCTAGGTGAAGCAGCAGGTTGGTGTTGCGACCTTTGCCTACTTAATCCATAAGCATGCCCCCGCCCCAATCCAAAGTGACCGCCTGCAACCCTTCCTTCTACCTGTGGCCCACATCCCATCAGTTGTCAGATCCCTGATGTTCAAAGCCAGGCTCCACCTTCCCATAGACTTCCTAAAACTCAGGGAACCCCTCAAGCTACATCTCTTTCAAATCTTTCCATTGACCTCGGGTGCCAGACACATAACTTCCTAAAGAGCAGCAGAGGAGATAGCAGGACAAATAGCACAGCATCCTAACTGCAATAGAGAGTATGTAGAATGGGGAGTATAGAGAACTAACTGGTTTAATGATTTTCTGCCGAGATTATGGAAAGGTGACAAAAATACCCCTTCTCATTCTGAGTCCAGGAAGAAGCTTCTGAGACTTTTCTCTGTAAAGGCAGCAAACCCTTATCTGTCAAAGGAGACTTTTTTTTCTGATACAAAATCCACAGCCTCTGCATCGTTGTCATCTTCATGTGTGTGTGTGTGTGTAATTTTATTCATATGTTTATTTTTGGCTGTGCGGGATCTTCACTGCTGTGTGCAGGTTTTTCTCGGGTTGTGGCGAGCGGCAGCTACTTTCCAGTTGTGGCGCCATGGGCTTCTCATTGCAGTGGTTTTGCTCGTTGTGGATCACAGGCTCAGACCGTGAGTTCAGTAGTCATTGTGCACCGGCTTAGTTGCCTGCCCCTTGGCATGTGGGATCTTCCCGGACCAGAGATTGAATCCATGTCACCTACCTGGGCAGGCGAATTCTTTACCACCTTTTATTTTGAGCCCTCTGTTGTATTTGCATTATTAAAACTCTCTCTTTTGATTGGTCTCATTCTAGTATCTTTTTTGTTGTCTCCTCCAACCCAAAAGGTGATGGAACAGCAGTGAAGCAGCAGTCAGGTGGAAAGGAAGGCAGGTCACTCCAGGAATCATCAGCCTGACTCTGCTCCTCAGGTGGGGAGACCGAATGTCCCAGTTTGCCTGGGGACTTTCTCAGTCTTAGAAGTGAAAGTCCTTCATAATGAGAAACCCCACAGTCATGGACAAATCAGGAGGGTCAGTCACTCTATCTTTCTAAGATGAGAATAAAAAGGGGTAAAGGTGTAAAATTAGTGTGAAAAAGCTAAACTTTTCCTAGAGTTTCTTTTCTTTGGAACTAAGAAGACTTTCTAGAGATGGCAATCCCCTGGAAGATGTGCTAAAAACACAGATTGATGCTTTCAAATTGTGATGTTGGAGAAGAATCTTGAATCCACTGGACTGCAAGGAGATCAAACCAGTCAATCCTAAAGGAAATCAACCCTGAATATTCTTTGGAAGGACTGATGCTAAAACTGAGGCTTTGGCCCCCTGATGTGAAGAGCTAATTCACTGGAAAATACCCTGATGCTGAGAAAGATTGAGGGCAGGAGGAGAAGGAGGCAACAGAGGATGAGATGGTTGGATGGCATCACCGACTTAACGGACATGAGTTTGAGCAAGCTTGG